TCTCTCTCTCTCTCTCAACAGCTCTTGCACCGCCCCTGATAAAGGGCTGTCCCGCAGTGTCCACTGGTTGAGTAGTCGCTTGATTCCATCGCGGTTGCTTGCAGCCGGGGCGGCCGCTGGCAGGTCGTCTCGCATGGCTGATGTGCCCTCCTCGCCTCGCGCAGGCGCCGACGGGGGCCAGACGGTCTGGTGTGGACGAGGAGGGACGGCCAGTGAAGAAGGGAAGGGGTGTAGGCTTGTTGGGCACCAGCGGCAGAGACGTACACCGACACACAGACCCGCCGCCCATTCCCGTTTGGTGGGTGAGACACGGTTGCAGGCAACGAGCTACTCTTGGGCAAACTTCCATTCTCACTGATTGTATGCGCATGCATGCCCTGTGTCCCGAATGCATGCCCAGCAGGCAAAACCACATGCATCCACAAGCTGATGTCATGCGTACGCTGCATTCAATCATGCTCACCCCCCACGACAGGCCTGACTGGATCAGCCAGATCGACTTGACCAGGGGCCGGAATGCGTCGCTGTCCCATGCGCCAGAGACCCCCTCCGGGATTTCGTAGCCTTCGTCCGCCATGCAGCGCAGCTCCTCCGTCAGCTCGACGCGGACGCCGGGGAAGAGTGCTGCGCCGAGCGGCGCCAAGGCGGTGGCGAGGAAGGACGCGTGGTCGGGGTCGCGCTCGTAGCCCAGGATGGCCACGATTCGCGCGTCGTCGGGTGGCAAGGCGTTGCGACTGTCGAGCATCAGCAGCAGCTACACCGCAAGGTGGGAGGCCAGAGCAAGGGAGGGGGGCGTGGCGCGCGAACAAGTGTCAGTGCTTGATAAGAAGAGCAGCGAACAAGTGTGTAGGGGCGGGTAGCGCGGCTGCACAAACAGAGTAGCGTCCAGGGCGTAGCAGCAAGCAAACCTTGGGCACTGGTGGTGTGCACACGCAATCGAGGCTGGACGCCAACCCTAAACCATAAACCTGCAGGGGCCCTAGCTGCTCAAGCTGTTTGTTCCCCCCGTTCGTCCACTGATAGCGGGCATGCAGCCCGGGCCGCCGACACGCGCAAGATCTCAGCACCCGGGGCCTAATCACGCTTTGTTGACGACGCACCGACCTACCAGGATGGTCTGCGCGCAGGCTGAGCTGGCTGCAGACATGTTCCGGTAGCGCGCGGGAGTCCGTGCGCCCGTGGCGTAGCCGACGCGCACAAAAATCCTTGCGAGGTCGCGGAAGGCCCCCAGAATCCGGCGGACCTCGGAGTCAGGGTTGCGGTTGCGGTGGCTGTCCTCATCTATCTCCACCACGCACGCTGCCTCGCCGGTCTGTGTTGTGGCAAGGGGAGTCAAGGGCGTCAATGGCGCGTCGCACTGGGTGGGCAGCATGTATGGTATACAGCGCGGGAAAGGCATGCTGCCACTGATGACGAGCAATCTGCTCACTAAGCCTGATCTGACAACGGCTGTAATAACCACCGGACCACCACCTGTCATCAGCTGTCCGCTGCTGCCGTCGACAAGATCAAACAGAGGCTGCGGCCTTCACTGTTTCCGTATGGGCCCGTTTGCACCAGCTAGAGGCGCCCCCCGCAGGATCACGGCAAAAAAACCAATCCCAAACGCGCACCTCCCTGCGCACAATCACCAAGTCGTATATGGCGCAGCCGCCGCCAACATCGTTGGGCAGGTTGTGGCGCACGTCCACCAGAATTCTGTACATGCCCTTGAACCACTGGACTGCCACCAGGCGCGCTGCCAGGGCCAGGCTGAAGAAGCCCTGGTCCCTACTGCTACCTGCCCCCGTGCTGCGCCATGCCCCAGCGACCTGCCGCGCAGCGGCAGCCTGATTTGCTGGCGTTGCTGCGCCCAGAAAGGACCTGTATGACTCCAAGAAGGCGTCGAAACGACCGCACTTTCCTTCCCAGCGTTGTGGGACCCCCATACGGCCGCGCGGCCGCTCCGAGATCAACACTTTCGGCGTGCCCCACCGGATCAGCTTGGTTTGCTCGTCTCGAGGGGCGATCAGACAGACGCAAGATCGGCTTATAGAATGTTTCGTGGATGACCTATGACATAGCAACCCCAAGGAAATCAGCCCCTAGGCGACCGTCGCCACGCCGTTGATACCGCGTCGCAAGACCCGCTTCTCGAGGTGTTCAAAAGCTGCTGAACGTCCAACTGACCAGGTACAGGCCCTGCTCAAGTGCGTGGTGTGCAAGCCGCAGCGGCCGCCGACCGTGCACCCCAGCTCCCTTGCCTCGGACCCGCACGAATCTGGTGTGCCGCCGCGCGCCAGGCGATGGCAGACGACTCAGACCTGACACTAGAGGACCTGAAGTACCTGCCCGACATGACCGTGGGTGGAGGGCGGCGCTGCCGCGCAGGGGGCGGCGGGCGTCGAGGGAGCCGATGACGCATTTGCGCACGAGGGGCGAGCGAGCGCTGGCACATACACTGCGGAACCGTTGCCGCTGCCGCAACCACGGCGCGCCACGGACAGCTGCGCCCACATGCTACACGCACCTCGGTCAACCCCCGGCCCTTGCCTAACCGCCCTGTGCAGCAAACAAACCGGTCCCCTGATACACGCACGCACAGGCCCTTCAGCAAGGAAACGCAGAGCCCTGGAAGCAAGATGCCGCGTGGGCCGAGGCAAGCTCCGACCCAGACTTGCAGTCCTTCAGGGGGTACATGGTGAGCGAGAAGGAAGCACCATCTACACTCCCAAGGCAGTGAACGAAAGTGACTGCCTGGAACGAAATTTTGGGGTGTCACCCCCTGGCCTGGCCTGCACATGCGTTGACGCCTTTGTTGGCTAGAACAACGCAAGTGCCGGACCAATAGCAGCGCGGCGTGCCGCCCCCTCTAGACGACACCACCAGCGCACACAGACACCGGAAGCCCTGACCCTTGCCTAAACCCTCGACCAACTTGGAACACTGGCAGGTCACGCGCCACCGCGGGATCCGTTTTGTACCCCACAGCCACCCTGAGGCCCCCTATTGGCCTGGTCGCGACGTCATCAGGCCGAGCGTTGACAAGGTGGCAGAGCGGGTGGCCGAGGCGGCCGCGGCTAGGGAGGCGCGTGAGAGGCGGGAGGCACGGGACAAGGAGGCCGCGCGGCGGGCCGAAGAGGCGGCGCGTCAGGAGCGTGACGCGGCCAAGGAGCGGGCCGCAGAGATGCTGGACCAGGATTACAAAATGGCGAACGAGGCCGGCCCCACGCGCGCCAAGGGCTCCAAGGGAGGTGGCCGTGGCGGCGGCGGCGGCCGCGGCCGCGGACGCTAGGCAGGTTCACAGGCGGCAGGCTGGGCGCTGGGGGCTGCTAGTACGGACGATGAGCAAGGGGAGGTGAAGGAGCCGAGCAGCAACCACGCAGGCGGCAGAGCGCTGCCACGGGCGGGGGCCACGCCTTTCACGGCCCCCGCCAGCCGCCGGCAGTAGCGGCTTTGAGTTGGAGGTGCTAGGTGCTGCTCGGCAGACCAATACAGCCCCACCCAGTGACATCAAGGAGGCGCTTGCCGTCAAGCTGACGGCGGCGGTGGTGCCGTGGGGCGCATCAAGCGTTTGTTCACGGCGAAAACCAGAGGCAGCGGCTCTCATTTGCTGGAGGGCGAGAGCTGACGTGCCAGCGCCCCAGTGAGGCAGGCAGCTGGCCCTGCTTGAGAGAAATGTAACTTGCATGTAATCATACCTTTGACTATGTGACAAATACAAAGTGGGTGGTGTGGGTGCA